CGAAACTCCGTCTCAAAAAAAAAAAAAAAAAAAGCCTCAAAATCACAACTCAAAAAGGCACAGTCTCCAAAATAGTGCTTTCTATTCAATCTCATTTACTCAGTGTCCTCTCAATGCTAATGTTCTAAATTTAGAGGTCATTAATTTATATTGGCTGATATGTTTCATTTCAGTGTTATATGACCTTATGTAAGCTTATGAAGGCACAATCTGTTCTACTTTTGTTTATACCCTAATTACCATTCCTTAAAAAATAATTTTTAAAAAACAAAACTATGCAAACCACAATTTATTATAGTGATCTAAAGGGACACTACACGTTTTTTTTTTTTAAACTCATCTATTCTTCCAGGGAGGATTCTCAAATTTGATCTAATTCTATCGTATCCCCAATGATTACTGATGCTTTTTTCCCTCCATAGTAAATTTATATGTGCATCAATGTTAAGATTCATAACACTTAAGAAAAATGCTTCTCCATAAAGTGAAATTTTAAAAATCAGAAGTCTACATGTAATATTTTCTTCCCAGAGTCATATACCTCTAAACAGGACAAAAATAAAACTCATGCTTGAACTTTCACTTAGAAATGTATAAAACTGTCTCTACAACGAACGTACCTGATTCCAAACATACAGTGAACATAGTTAAATAAAGCTCTGCGCAACATGGTTGTGTCAACATCCTCATGGGTGGCCATAGTGTTATATGTGAGATTGTAGACCATCCGAAACTTTTCATCAAGAAGATGCCCAATGTCAGAATAAAGTCTGTTCACCAGGGAGAACCCGTGATTTTCCCAGGTATAGTCCTAAAAGAATAAAATGTATTTAATTACAAAGTTGGTATTTTCCATGTAAATTCTATGTCTTTATTAAAACAACTAATGAAGCAAGTATATCAGGATATTTCTAATTGAGTTCTAGGTTTGCAGTTTTACTAAGGTTTTACCAAGAACCCTTCACATCAGTTAGATCAGAGTGTCAGGATGTTTCTTCATAGGGTACGGGATTTGCCATATTAGTAATGAACTCTGGTCACCTCCTATAGTCAGGTACTATGCACATTATGCCCTTATCTGAAGGGCCCCAGGAAACCTTGGAATATTCCTATGTGAACAAACCTATCCAGTGACATGGACAGTTAGCAGGTCATCTAAAATAAACAAGAAGGAGTTTGTCATAATTCAATCATATACCTTCTTAGGAGTCATATCACTGTGGTGGCTATTTCCTAGGGGTGAAGATTAGAGTAACCCTTAAGCCCATGACTACTAGTGTATGATTTTATTCCAAGAAAAAGTGATGTCACTTGTTTTCCTCCCTCTTCCCCTCCAAAAAATGGTATAAACATTATGCAAATACCATGTAATAACAGAAGTAACCGAATAAAGGAGACTGTTTCCTTTTGTCTTCTTCGGGAGAAAAATGTTGAAATAATTATCCATCTATTGGGACCTCCAATTAGACTAGGCTGAAACTAGGTGAAATAAAAAGATTTCTAGATCCTATCAAAAATTCTTTAGATGCCAATTTTTTATATTCAACACCTGACAGTTAAAATGACAGTATTTTCTAGTTTGTCTGAATTAAAGATGTATTATTATACCTGAGCTCGGAATGTTGGCAAATGCTCTTCTCCTCGTCTGGCAAAGTCTTCATACCCAAAACCAGGGTCTTCAATATATCGAGAGACATCAGACGTTATAATCATGTCATCTTCAAACTCTAAGGACAATAATAAACAATCGAGTGTTAAGGATACTGTACATGTTAAGACAATAAAGCAGAACTCCATTTTTTTCCACTTGTTAGCTTTTCCATGGATTTCTAAAGTGAAAACATTGACTTCTTGACTTAAATTTATATAAAATATATACTGCTAAATTTTAAAATATAATTTCATTACCAAATACTGTGGCAGTCTTACCATGTGATTAGTTTTCCAGGTAAACTGACTAAACTGAAATATCTAAACAGTAGTAGTGAAGGATCAATATGCTAGTTTACTAATTTAGAAATGGAAGATAGCATAGGCCTGTGAGTATAATGCTAACCATTTTTTTGCTTTGCTTTTCTCTTTCCAGAGGATGAAGTGGGATGAGAGGAAGGAGAAGAGATGAAGGTGAAAGTCCACTCTGAGTTTAAGATAAAACACCATGTAATTTTTAACAAAGTTTATCTTGATGCATTCACAGTAAAAATTAGTTCAATATAGTTTATTTTTAGCTTATAAAGAAGGACATAGGGAGAAGGATCAGGAAGGACACTCAATGGGGAGGAAAGCAGACTTTTGGACGCTGTTATCATTATCTTAATTCACTTGACTGCTAAATGGGGAGGCTCAGGTTGTGAATATTTACTTAGTTTTATGCCTAAAATATATGCACTTTTCCATGCATATGAAAACAAAAAGTACACAACATATGGACTAATCAGACTATGATTAGAATATTACCAATATGGCATTCAAGAAGATAGCAAGGCAATAATAATATTTTAAGAAAACTGATTTCTGCATACTTGATGACATTAACAATTTATCATTGAAAAAAGTTTAAATGTCCAATGTATATTAATTTATGTAAAAATAGTTCTATCTCACTTTTTATTTTAGGTTGGTTTGTCTTTATAATTACATTTTTTTCTGATTTTAACCATTAAAAGGGAATAAACAAGCTTTATTTACTAGCTTCTTCTAGTCTAGAAAATGAACATGTATTTCTCAAAATAAAAAACTAGCTATTTCCCTGAAAGGAATAATACTTTCATTGTAAGTATTTTAGTATTAAATGTCACATTTCATAAATAATAAATAGTAAAACAGTATTATGGTATAATAAAAAACACTGTAATTCTTAACTGGGAAAATTTTGAGAGGCTTAAAAAACAAATGTAATTATGTTAATTCTTCCAAAAGAAAGACCTGGTAGTAATACTTCATTATCTTTAATCTTAGTTATTGTATGAAAATCCTAATAAGTATTCTTTTCTCACAGGTTTTCAGCTGTCTTTAGATCTCTGCTGTGGACTTAACTGGGTGCTTGATAATCACAGCAGGAAAGACTTAAGTACTCTGGCTACCCAATTTTGGATGAATCTTATTAAAGTTCTTACCAAACTTCTTTATTACATATAAAGAAAAGAGATTGGCATTTATTGAGTATTTATGATATACCAAGTACTATACTACACACTTAGTATCTATTTTTTGTTTCATTACTACAGAAAGAAATATCCATTTAAGAAATAAATTAACTGTAACTTTTACTAATACCATTGTCAGTACTGTAACTGTGTCAATAAGAAATACAATGTGTAGATGTATAAGATGATGTGGAAAACGTCTAAACATTAGATGCTTAAATTGATCTGAAACTTTTAAGTGATTTTTCAGTCCTGTGAAGAGAATATTCAGGCTTATCCCCCGCCCAATCCCATAACCACTTTATTTTCTCCTTGTGCTCCAGCACTCTATTCAGGTCAACAGACACACTTTAAAAATGGCATTTTGAATGCATTATCTCTTAACATTTACAAACCAGCTTATGCTTTCCTTAATTCAGTTCATTACATAATAATAGAACTGAAGCAAAAATTATAAAATGTAGTAGCAATCACTGAGGCTGATATGAAAAGGAGTTTTATAGGTTGCAAAGTAAAATCAAATCAAAAACAGTAAATAATAACTAAACTCTATAAAACAGTGTCTCTCTAGAAGTGATTTTTCCTTTGACACTGCACAACCAAGTGGTTTTATTTGGCAAATATTGATACTGGAGTTGACTATTACATAGTTGGTTCTTTACTTTTTGTTTTGCTCATATACATTTTCAAGTTGTATGCCTTCTAAACATTTTAAAATAAACAGTAAAAAGTAAGTAGTCAGCCAAATAAGAGAAATGATCCTAGGAAAAATCACTATGCACTAATTTTTAATTTAGGAGTCAATTAACACCTGTTTCCTAGACAATTTTTATTCACAGAAAGAAATGTACAAAGGTCCTTCAATCCACAAATACTTTTTTTCCCAAATTTATCTTAAGAAGTTAAAATTAGCATTCTGATTTTTAAACCTAAAACTCTAGTTTTAATTCTATCTAAACAAATATTTCAAAGTCTGTACTCAAAAGAAATAGTATTTTGTTCATTATCTGCATTATTCTGCCCCTAAGAAGTAGTTACTGACATAATACAGGAACATTCTGTTGCAGTAATGGAATACCTAACTGGAAAAACAAACAACAGTAAAAGCTAGTTAACCCTGTTACCAAACTACAGAATAGACTCCTGTAGAATATTTTAAACACTTACTTTCTTCAAAAGACTTGAAAAACTATTCTTAGAATCCTGACAAAGAATCTGGAATACTTTATAACACTGGTCAAACCAAGACTTTTTTTATACAAAAAAAACCCTTTTTATTTCTATTTTAAAACATGGTAAGTCTACACAAGTGACTCAACTGACTGTTGTACTGAGTCTTTTTTCTGTATTTTCTTTGTGCAGCCAGCAAATTTGGTACTAACAATGATTAAGAGTGAAATATATAATTTTATATATATATATAGTGTGTGTGTGTGTGTGTATAGTGTATGTGTGTGTATATGTGTGTATATATATATAGTTTGTGTGTGTGTGTGTGTGTGTGTGTATATATGAGGGTGTATATGTATGTATACTGACATTATTTCCTTGAAATAGCCTCTTCTATTAAAATTATAACATAATTTTTGGCTAAGGTCCAAGACTTGCTAGTCAAAATTCACTTTTGAAGGCAGTAGTCTCTGCTTAAAGTTTTAAGAAGGTTGAGACTGAAATCTAAAATATATTTTTAATATTTCAAAAGACCTAAGATAAATAAAACATTGATATTTTTCAAGTTTTAGTGATCTTAATGAAGCTCATATAAATTAATTTCTGAAAACACAGATATTACTAACTTTGATAAAAATGTTTACGTTTTTTAAACATTTGTTTACCTAGAAGGTTCATCATAGATTATTTTCCTTCACCCTCACCTGTTCTCTCCAGCTGATTTTTATAATCAACTTTTAATTTCTGTTCCCAGTTATATGCTGATAACTTCTAAAATTCTACCTTGAACTTGAAGCCCTCTCCTGATTTCCTATTTCTTCTACCGTTTGTATTCCAAGAGTGGTTTGCATACTAGCAGCACTGGCATTACTTAGAGGCTTGATAGAAATGTGGCCTCTCAGGCCCTACCCTAGATTGATTCAACCTCTGCATCTCAACAAGATTTCCCAAGTGACTCACGAACACTGAAGTTTGAGAAGCGCTGTGCAAAACATTTCCAGACTGGCTGTTTTATAGACATCTCTACTTGAAATGTCCAAAATATGGTAGTTTACATATTTCTTAAGGTTAGCAAGATCCTTACGGTAGGGCCTCTACCTACCTAACCAGATTTCTCTTTACACTACCTGTTTGATGATGTACATCCTAACAACAAAGAACCACTTGTTCTTGGACCCAGCATCCTGTTTTCTTACTATTGTGCTTTTGCTCGTGCCTGGATGCTGTTTACCATGTCCTCCTATGCCCCTCAGCCATTACCTGGCTCCCCACACTCAACTGTATTAAGACTTATCTTAGAGCCAAGGGCTGGCATTCTTCCTCTAGGTTCCTCTTCTGCCTACACCCTTCACCTATCAAGACTGGATTCAGTGCCCTCTTCTAGGCTCTTACATCTTTCACATTCTGCTATGTGTTACAATTATTATTATTATTTGCTACTAGAATGAGAGTGCCCTGAGGGCAAGAATCATGCCTTATTTAGTCTTAAAACCTTAGTACCTAACACCATGCTAAAACTATATGGGGTATTCAATAAGTGTTTACAGAGTGAATATTAAAGCAATAACCCAAACACTAAGTTTCTTTGTTTGCAATTTCCTGCTGAACTAGAGGCTGATTTTAGTGACAGTAATCTTCAATGGATTAAATTAATTAAAAGGATTAAAATGATTACTCAATTTGGTAGGTAACATTTTTCATAAAAAAGATCATCGGGAGAAATGATAAAAAGCGTTCTTGTTCTTTCTGGTAAAACTGGGAACTACTGATTAATGTTTTATGTTAAGTTATGGCTGAAACAATTCTCAAAATTTAAGAAATTGATGAGTTTTAAGACAGGCAGTAGTTTTGAAGACCTCTTTTAAATCAACAGAACTCTACTTTTTTAAAAAAATGTTATGTGTGATCCCAGCTACTCGGGAGGCTGAGGCAAGATAATTGCTTGCACCCAGGAGGTGGAGGTTCCAGTGAGCCAAGATTGCGCCACTGAACTACAGTCTGGGCGACAAAGTGAGACTCCTCTCAAAAAAAAAAAAAAAAAAAAAAAAATTATGTAGATGGATTACTTTTAAAGGGTTTAAGCTTTGTATTGAGTCTGTTGTTTTAATATCACTATGTGGTGTTCAATAGCTTTCTTAGTTGTAATTGAAAAGTTTCCTCCCTATTTCAGTCTCTTCGAGTGTTAGAAAAACTGTTTTCAAGAATACAGCAAAGAATCTCAGCTTTTAACACAAAATGAATTCCTCCAAATTCAATCTAAGAAAATGACCTAAATGATACATTTTTATAGAATTCCAAAGAAATGTAAATGCAAGTACAGTGTAATTTTAGAACTGATCTGGAAAAGCAGCAGTGTGAGAATAATCTTCCCACACACACCCCATCCACAAAAAAAGGCAAAGATTTAAAAAAAAAAATTATCTATTGAAACAATATTTCACTTATCATTTAAAAAAATCATAAAAGTAGGAAAAATTAAATATGCCCATCTAACTTTATAAGCAACTTACCTACTTTAAATAACATTTTATCCAGGATAGGGTATGAACTTACAAAGCTGAAAGTTTCTCTCAACTCAATCTGAAATACATTCAAGGATGAACCAGCCTGAGGGAAAGCAATAACGTGAGAGTAAGGTAGAAGAGGAGAACTAAATAAGAGGAAGATGGTGGCAGAATCATTTTTACATATCCATATGGCAAACACTGAAGTTGCTCTGTCAGGGTTCTAAGAACAACTAACAGGAAAAGAACGCAAAAAAGTACCTGAATAAGGAAATGAATGAAAAGTATCTCCAGAGACCACAAAAAGACTTTCTTTCTTCTCCTTCTCAAAACGAGTGCTCATTTCTTCCTGAGACGCCTCTTCATCTTCCCTTTCTTCTTGAAGTCTTTTCATCCTTTCCATTAAGGCCTCTAGCTCACTTAGAGAATCAACAATCTGGAACCAGATAAGATAATGTTGGGTGCTATTAACATTAAAAGTGTTCCGGTAAATGTGTCCACCTCCCAATGTCACCTAACTATGTGCAGTAGCATAGGCACAGTTATTAACTTCTTAAGTGAGTTTTTCACCAGTTTCAAAGGGAATCATGACAGGTTCCAAAATTTTCAGAAGTATGATTTTTTTTCAGTTATAAATATAAAAGCGTATAAGTATATATGTATGTGTATATAAAATCTAGAATTCTAGGATTTGGTGTGTATTAAATAGTATAGTTTAAAAATGAGACAGCACAATTTTTAACTTTTTGCTCTCAGAAGATATGTTTTCCCCATTGGTTGTTCCAGCATCTTATAAATATATTGTTTTGTGATCTACCATCTAAAGGATCTAACATTAAAAGCATATGATCACTAGAATGCATCACTGTTTAGTCTTTATGATTTGCAGTAATTTGTATTTGCTTTAAAAGTCTCTTTGAGATAAATCAGAAATTTTTACAGTAATAAAAATTATGCAAAAATATTTTAAGTATATAATATCTAATTGGAGAACAATTATCTCTAGATATTTTTAATATTAGAAGTTTAAAGCAAAAATAGTAAAGAAAAATGGCTAAGAAAACTAACCCCAAAGTTGCTGCCTGAAAGGGATGCATTCTCTATGTTGTTGTCATTAGCAAGATCACAAACGCAGAAATTGTTGACTGATATTAGCCTGAATCCATTGGAGATTTCTGGATCTCTCTCTGGATTGATACCACTACCAAAGACAAAGCTTGCCAAAGCATGATAATGTGCCAGTAGGACCACAGCATGTACCAGTTCAGGCAAAGACCAATTATTTTCTCCAGTTTTGACAAGTTTCTGAAATGAGAAAGCAAATCAGAGCAAATATCAAAATTCTAGAATGCTACAAAGCAATTTCAATGAAAATCTACCAATTTTCATATATCCATTTATAGTAATACAACTTAAAACTCTCTTTAAAAAATGTTTCACATGTTAAAGATATGATTTTGGCCAATGCTCCATTAAAACTATCATGCCTAACAATACAATTATATCGTACTTTTTCTAAATCTCTTATTATCCAACAGATCTTCTGCTTCCAAAGCATTTTTTTTTATATATTATGCTATTTTAATGAAATACTTTCAGAGAATCAAAGAACACTGAAGCTAGATAGGACTTTAAAGATTATCGAACAAAACCATTCACTTTAAGGTTTATTGGAAACTTCATCCCACAAAATCATGAAAAACCCCAATTCAGCAAGACAAATTTCAGTTATCCTCTAGCTATCTTCTAATAGAGAAAGCCTCTGCAGCAGATGACAGAAAATGTAGAATACTACCTCACATTTGAATAAGAATTTTAAAAATTTCAAAGCATTTTTTCATATTCTGTATTTCACTTGGCCTTCCAGCTGAATGATGGGATCACAAATGAAGCCATTAAAAACAGTAATTCCTCCACCCACTTTGTCCAAGAGTGAATTCCACCAATTAAAGAATCCCTCAGGGATTCTTTCCCATTGGTGTTCATTTTCTCTCCCTCTCTCTCTCTCTCACGATGTGTGTGTGCATCCGTGTGTGTGTGTGTGTGTGTGTGTGTGTGTGTGGTGTGTGCGTGAGGGGGGAATCTCATCCCTCTCTTTCCCCTCTTTCTAAATCTAAAACTTTCATTTGGCTTACTTAATGGCTAAAACAAAATGAAACAAAAAAATAAAACTGCCTTCTTTTGCTTTACTCCCCATTATTTAACTTCACACACATATATAATTTAATATATTACCAAAATCTCAGGGAAAAGAAAAGAAAGTCAAATTCTATCACTCTATGGTGGGGGAGATAGGGAAAGACTTGTTAATGAACAAAATTACAGCTAGATAGAAGGAATAAATTCTAGTGTTCTATACCACTGTAGGATGATTAATAGTTAACAGTAACATACAGTTTCAAATAGCTGGAAGGAGGATACTGAACATTCCCAATACAAAGAAATAATAAATGAGATGATGGGTATCCTAATTAATCTGATCTCTATACATTAGATATATCAAAATATCACTGTGTACCTCATGGATATGTCAATTAAAAATAAAATTTAAAAAGATACATTAAGACAAAAATATCATTATTGTAATTTGTAATAATGTAAATAAAGGTCTTTTTTTTTTTTTTTTTTTTTTTAGACAGAGTTTCGCTCTTGTTACCCAGGCTGGAGTGCAATGGCGCGATCTCGGCTCACTGCAACCTCTGCCTCCTGGGTTCAGGCAATTCTCCTGCTTCAGCCTCCCGAGTAGCTGAATAAAGGTCATTATTTAATAATAAAAGAATATACACCAGAAAATACACTTGCTTTACATCTCTATGCACCTAACCTTGTAGCCACAAAATAAATGGTTGCAATACTGACTGAAAAAAATTCTACCACTCTTTTATGTATCTTTTTTTCTCTATTGTAATTATACAGTTATAACCACATATGTCTCTATTTTTCTGATTTTCAAATTTGACATTTTGATGTGTTCATTTTTCATAAGGCCACACTGTCATTAATTTTTAAGCAAGGCCTATACTATACATCAATGGATGTACATAACTACTTCTCCTTTCCTGTAACATTATTCACATTCTAATTTTGTTTCATTTGCTTCTATAAATAGCATCTTCATGCTACAGTTTTGTTCTTATTTTAGAAACATTTCCTAATAGGATTTTTAGAACAAAGAGTATTAATATTTGTATGACTTCTGATAATACTACCAAAGAGCTTTCCAAAAGGATTGGTAGGATTTACAATGCCTTCACCAATCTTTGCAGGATTATCATTAAATATGAAAGGACAGCAAACACTCATCATCTCTAATTTCTTGCCTCACATTCATTTCTGCTTTAAAAAATTCATTACAATCTGGTTTCTATTTCAAGCAAACTCCTGAAGCTACATTTACTAAGATTACACATGACCTCCCAAATGGTCAAATCTCACTATTTCTTTTTAGTCCTTATTTAATTTGATCTCCACAGAATTTACATTGTTTACTTTCTCCCTTCTTGACATTAATCTCTCTTGACTTCAACAATTCCACATTTTTGAGGAGGGAAATACATTTTCTACCCTGAGATAGACCTTTCTCTATTGCTGTATTTCATCCACAATCTTCCTTCCTTGTGTAATATCTTTTTGGATGGGCCATTCATTCCTTCAAGCTGACTTTTGCTTATCTGTAAACAACTATCCAATTTTACTTTTAACTCATATTTTATCTTGAATTAAAGACCTGTATTTCCTTTAGTAACTAGACATCACTTTGCAGATGTCATCACTTGTTGCTGTCAGCCTGTGCACGCTCATGTCATGAAGAAGGACACCTTAGTCATGCTCTTGTCCTACCTATTTTCTCCATCCTCATATCCTACCAGTCACCAAAGTCCTGCTTATCCTCATACAGAATAATTACTATAATCTTATCCTTCCTATGTATCTCCCATGCCTTTAAAAAACAAATCACCTCTGAGGTATAGTACTGTGACTGGTCTCACTGCTTCTAGTCTGTACAATCGTGATTTATCTTCTATATCACCTAATGTATTTATATTACAACTTGGCACAAAAACATTTATTGATTCTCAATTCTCTATCATATTGATCTCCATGGTCTTGTGATCAAATGTACTTCCAGAAGTAACAATTGGGGGGAGGTCTAACCCTGGATATTGTGTGTATTTATTTGTAAATTTATACACATAAAATATATTTTATATAATTTCCATATGAATACTGTAATAACATAAAATACACAAATACAAAAATTTAGAAGAATATACACAAATATTTTGTAATATTTTGGAGAATTTTCTTGTGTATGCCCTGAGTACCATAACAACCCTGACGACCATAACTTTCTGAAAGAAAATACAAATTCTTTAATACAGTATTCATTGGGTCATACAATATGATCTCAATTCTTCCCAGTTCCCACCTTACATAAACAACCCTACACTTCAATAATCTGAAACTGTTGGCTATTCCTCCAATATACCATAATATTAAATACTCTGTTCTTTCTCTGAAATGCCCTGCTCTACTTGAAAACTCCCACTTGTTCAAGACCTAGCTCAAACATTACCTCTTTCAGAAAAGAAACTTTCTGGTCCCATTCTCTTTGTTCATACATTCATACACTGTTGTGCAATGATTATTGTCATTACCCTTTTCTTCTTCTTCCCTAGACTCCAAGCAAATCCATGGGCAGGGTCTTTATCTTTCCCCACCAAAGTATCTGGCACAGAGTAATTAAGATATGACATTAAAAATAATGATTAGGCTGGGCGTTGTGGCTCACGCTTGTAATCCCAGCACTTTGGGAGGCTGAAGTGGCTGGATCACAAGGTCAGGAGTACAAGACCAGCCTGGCCAAATTGGTGAAACCCCATCTCTACAAAAAATACAAAAAAAAATTAGCCAGGCATGGTGGCAGGTGCCTGTAATCCCAGCTGCTCCTCAGGAGGCTGAGGCAAGAGAATCGCTTGAACCTGAGGGTTGGAGGTTGCAGTGAGCCGAGATTGTGCCACTGCACTCCAGCCTGGGGGACAGAGTGAGACTCTGTCTCAAAATAAATAAATAAACAAACAAATAAATAAATAAATAAGATTAATTCCTCTATCTAGCTAACATATTATCAAATCAGAACATAAATCTAAAGACAGCATCGTGCTTCAGATTCCCAGGCAGATCATCAAATCTGAGAGCATACAGACTGATAAACACTGTTTGGTTGAAAGGGCAAATAACAAAATAGTCTAACGAGAGGATAAAAAAACCAAGGTCATTTCTGTGCATTAGGAACAGAGATTTTAAGAAGTTTCTACTGATAATTTAAATGATAGCTCCCATCTATTGACTAATTACCATGTGCCAAGAATAGTGCTAAGCATACTGAATAATGACCTCACCCTGTAGGGCTTTGATGGAAGTACCATCAGAAGTACAAGTGCTCTCAGTCAATCACGACAACTCTATTTCTCATCTAAGCTTGAGTTTTAAAAGGCATCTAAGCATTCACACACCAGCTGGCAAATCACTTTTTTATTTGCAAAATCACTTTTTGAGAATCTAAAAATTATGAAATGTTAGAACTATAAAAGAGTTTAAAACTCATGTAATCTAGCTCCCTCATTCTGTAGAGGGGAGAACTGAAGCCCATAGAAGTTAATTTACTAAAAGGACACAAACTTGTAACAGAGTACAGACTAGATCCCAGGCATCCTATGCTAGTGTATTTTCTTTGTTCTACCTACTACCAAATTTTCTCATAGCCATTCACCAAAGTACTTGTATAAGCTAATTCATTATTAAAGAGAAGTATTCATTTACGCTTAATTAAATCCACTGACTTTCTAAATTTATCTTTTCTACAATTATTAAGACACTATTATTTACATTTCGAGCTCCTAATATACAAGTATTTAAAATTAAGTCCTAAGAAAATTCCTTTTTATTTCAAAGAAACACTCAGTACCTGAATGTGCTCTTTTGTGATCAGCCAAGGTCGGTGTGCTAGCAGCTTATTAATTTCATTAAGATTTTTCAGTCTTTGTGGCACATACTCCAAACCATTCAACCACTCAGCAATACCTCCAGTCTTTAAAAATTCATCCACATGCATGTTTATTAAGTAAGAACACTGATGTCTAGCTGCAGCCTAAAGCACAAAGAAAAAATTCATTGATAAAAGTATCACAGTAGAGTTTCATTCCACTATTTCTAAACAAATAATTCAGATGGAGTTAATGATTTTTATAGCCAATACCTCTTTTCTTACAGAATCATTTTTCTAAAACGTCCATCATAATGATGTAATCGATTCAATACATGAAGTTGATACTTGTATAAGCAAATAATTGTCACCTGAAGCCAATTATTTCCTTGTCTGGAAGTTGGTATAAATTAAGCCAGAGCCCACTTTCTAGCTATGAATAGGAAATACGCTTCCTTTTCAATATGATAAATGTATCTACTATATTCTACTTAAAACATAATCAAATCTCATTAACTTATATTCTAATAACTCAGGATTCATCCTAATTTGAGTAATTCTCTTATCCTTTTTAAGATAACTGTGACTTCAGTCATATTTGCACACATCCTCCTACTCAGATGACATGGAAGTTCACTGACCCTTTTCGTCCTATGCAGTCAGAATCAGCCCTCAATTGACCTCTTTTTTCCTCAGGGCTGCTTCTCAGTAAAACAGTACTATTTTGTTCTTTCTATTCTCTGCATCTTATTTCTGTTGCGTTTTGTGAGCATTCTAAGTCTGCTTTCAGCCTTACTGTCATCAAAACCTTAAGCTATAATTTTAGCTCAGTCAAGTTCATCATTCAATAAAACATGGAATGTTGGTTTTTGTTGTTGTTGTGTAAAACTTCAGTAAGACTATAAAAAAGACAACCAAATCAAATGTGGTCAAACTTAATCTGCTAATTCCTGGCTAGTTATGCCAGCCCTATCAGTCCAGTTTCTACCCCAACTTCTCCAAATATATAGCACTTGCGTCATGTTCTTGTTCTTCTTTTTCTCCATTAAAAGTCCAGCACACAGAAAACTTTATAATTCTCCTCCCTGACCTCTACTGCCTGCCAATAACTAGTTAACCAGTTTGTAATAAGAAATATACTTAGAAGGTTACAATTCATTCAAGAAATCTTCTCTCATTCAGATTCTCCATTAATGCTAACTGATAATTTCCTCTTATTTGGCCAAATTAGTGATATTCTTTATATATAAAATTACTAAGAAAAAATGTCATGAACTTGGGTTTTTATAAAAACAAGGTATCAAGAAAAAAGACAAAACTTGTGGGATATTATTTTGCATGCTATAAGTGTCTAACTGTAAGAGATTAAATATGAAAAAGATTTTTTTGAAAATTAAATGAGAAACTGAGTGCATTAAGTGGCTTAACATATTACAAATGTATCCAAGAAACTTGGTATCCAAAAGCCCATAGACTTCTTCAATTCCTAAATTATACTTAGCTTTATACACACATGGGCACATACACATATTTTGGAAGGGAAAAAGAGTAAGTGAGGAAGATGTTATCTGAATACAGGAAAATAAGCACCTACCATTATTGCAATATAGTGCCTGTATGGTAGAGGAAGGGGACCATCCATGCGCAACATGTAAAACTGGCTCCGCAAGAAAGACTCCAGGTACTGAGTGTGTAAACTCATGACCTGGGTGATGTTGTCCAGACGACCAGATGTAGAGTATTCTTCCACAAGAAAGTTAGTACGTTCAACCACTGTGTTTGCTTGGACAACCTTATAACCAAACACAAAGTGACTACTGAGACATAAACATACCCTTGGTTTACATAAATTATGCCACTATTGAAGCAAATGAATATTCATTTGATATTAACAGACAGTGAAATTATGCAGTTGCTCATACTGGAAACAAATTTAAAAAAAAAGCACCATTCATTTTTGGCTCTGGTACCACAATTTATTAAACAACAAATGTTAAATTATCAAACATTATACACACAGCTATGAAAGTGAAGAAAAGCTGCTTCCATCTGTTTTGCCAGATTTTTCAGGGCCCATTTGCCTGTCCATTGTCACACCAATGTGTGGTAAAGCACAAGCAGCATCTGATTACGTACATTTACAATTTCATCTTATCAGCCTATGAAGATAAGCACATCATTTTTAGACAAATATTTTCAGTCTAATCCTTTGATTGCTTTTGTGATTCAACATAAAAAGAGCTTTCTCAAGTCTTGTCAGGGACAAAGGAATATACGATAATTTGTAGAAAAGTGTTAAATGAAAAATTAATGAGGACACTTGAATACTGTTATTTCTGTCTTGAGCTGGACAATATTAATTACTAAAAACAAGGGAAGTTATTAAAATGGACATTCTCCATCCTAGGAAATCAAAAGAGTTTTTTTCAAAAATAGATTACTTATATATAGTTTCATACACAATGACAGTTTGGGCATCACACCAAGAACTGGCTCTGAAGGTGTTAAGAGCTTATTAGCACCTTGTAGAAAGGCCCAGCCCTGTGGGAGTTAATGGACATGAAATGCATAATTCTAGGAGTGGTTCATTGTTTATTTGTATTTCAGAATTAGAGGTCTAGACTTATTTTAGAGATAAGGAAACAGGTAAGAGATTAAATTCAAGCTCATGCACCTTATTAATAACAGAGCCTGGTCTAGAATCCAGATTGACTAAAGTTCAGACTAATGATCTTTCCAAACATCCACACTACTATTAAGAAACTGTTTACTCTTCAGAGCTGGCTTCAGTCTTTTTTGAAAAATAAATACAAATTATACAAAGGCACTATTGACTTAGGGAAATTTAATCCCAGAGGAAATATAATGTTTGAAAAGTATAAATTGTGAGGAAACGTTAATTATAACGGTATAACTCATTATGGAGCCAAGTATACTTTGATTTGCTCACTTCTGTACCATTTTGTCAACTGCAGGGACTAAGACAGTTAAAAATATAATGGGATCCAGATGAAAGACATATAATTATGAATAGAATATTTGTTATTTTTGTTTTGCTTTCCCCAGCAGAAGTTTCTTCTAACTGGATGCTTAAGATACATTAATAGATTCATATGATGCAATAGATCCTAAAAACCAGATTATCTTCAAATATATATTGTGAAAAATGACTGTGCTTCAGGAAGTCTTTATGTGTATTAGGCAGTTTAGAGCAGCCTCAAGCTATCTGAGAAAAATAGACATAAGCAGGGCAGTTTCTCCAGTGCATGGTCCTCACCCAGATTAACTGTTGTTACTAAGCTCCCAAAATGTTACTGTCACTTTGGATTTGCACTTAAGTGGTAAAGTCACTAAAAAAGTGATTTGATAATGAAAAAACTGTTGACTCTGGCAATGATCTGGTATTATTCTATTTCTACTAGTCCCTTCTTTTAAGTCAATGCTTGGCACATAATCGGCGCTCTATAAATATCTGTGAAGCTGAAAAGAAAATATCTCCATGGTTTTCTGATACGTGAATAAGAAACTCAAGAGCAAAATATATTCTGACTTCCATATTAAAAAGAGATATTCTTTGATACAATGAAATTATTTTTAAATCATATTTTGTATATTTTAAGACAGATAAACTTACTTCCTTCTCTGGAATAAAGGCACTTGGTCCTCTTGTCAAGGGTTGAGATACTCTGATTCTTTTATCCTATTTTTAAAAGAAAAGTTTTATCTATTAATGATGAATTTCTAAGAAACGTTAAATTTGTACAAATTTATTGCTAAGGTACTAAAATAAATACAATAAATAATTAAATAAAATTATGTGTAACCAGAATAAGTGTAGGGTCTCAGATCAAAGAAAACCCATAGGGCCACTGTGTGGATGAAATAATACGGCAAATGCCTACCACAGTGCTAAGTACAGCACAGCCTCCTCAAAATGTCATATCCTTTAGTCACAGTCTATATTATAGACTTTAAATCCATATTTGACATGCCTGAAATCCATTAACCTCCATAATAATATTGTGTCTTATAGTAGTACTCTGTTAGACATCAATTTGAACACTAAAGGTTAAATTCAAAGAGAATTACATAACAACTCTCCAAAGCAATTACCTAACCTGTGTTTTTTTTCCCTAAAAAAGCAATAAGCATATCTAATATGAAGTTTTGAAACTTTAAGAAAAATGTAAAAATTAGAGGGAAGGTTAGTTCAATATAAAGAATGGAGAATATACTAATTTTAATTGTTCTATTTGCTATTCTGTTGGTGGTATTAACAATTGATAGGTTGCCTATGGTATGTCTGAGTGCTGATTTAAGTTTTTAAAAATTCTGTTAACTTTTTAAATTGAAGAATATTTTAGTATCCTCATTTAAGTGTGATATAAGCCATAAAAATTCTAATCGGAGAATTGGGGCCTTCTCTCCCTTCCATTCTCCCCACCTTACTAGGCAATCTGAGTCTTTTTTGGTCCTTACAATCAAACAGCCTATTAAACACAAAATAGTTATTTAAATTTCTTAAATCCTTTACTTCATTAGGAAGCAGTTACAAAAGAAATTGGTGAAAGCAGGTAGTCAGGCATTCCACATGATGTTTTTTCAGAGCCTAATCAGATACTGTGATAGACTCTGAGGATACAGGGTGAGGCAAACAGACAGGCTCTCTGCCCTCATGAGCTTAGCACACAATCTTCATCAATTTTCAAGGTTCTGTTGAAATAAATATATTAAACAATAATACTCTTAACCTGGTAAAGTTTCAGAAATAACTAGGCATCTAGGTTATATTTACAAAATGATGACAAAGGCCTCAATCTCCTGGTCAACTACACTGGAGGACTGCATGTTAAGAGGACAAATAATTCGTATATTGGTATTTCCTGTCTATGTCAACCAAATCTAGATTTACCCAGACAGATAATTTAAAGGAAAATAACAGGTTTCTTCCTTTTGCTAGCCTCCATAAGATACAGAAAAAAAAAAATTTGAACACTCTCTGTATAAATGAATTAACTATGAGATTATAGTAAGCTAGGATTGTACCACTGTACTCCAGCCCGGGTGACAGAGTGAGACCTCATCTCACTAAACAACCACAACAAAAACCTTAATGAAGTAGTATATGAAAAGCAATTTTCTGGACAAGTATTTATTTCAAATGAACAAAGCAGCTGGAAAAACTCATTATGAGGAAAAATTATAGGTTTGAGGTTGAAATCTTTAAATAATAAAAAATACATAAAACTTAGAGAATACGTAGGGGGAGCAAAACATAAACTCTTTTACATTAAGATGCACCATGGGATTTTGTAAACAAAGGATGATTTATTAAGTTTGTTTATAAAAACCACAATTTGATACCGTTAGCAACTAAATTTACCTTTAAATGTTTAATATTATTATTTTGAATCTTTTCTGGAACAGAAAATATTTAAATCTGAAAAAACATTTTCATCATAAATGGAACTGAAAGGTACTGCACTTAAATGAATATAACATCCCTTAGTGTTTAGCAGTTGAAAAAAAGCAACTTAATTTCATTTGTGTCAACACTGATTTCTTCATTTATTTAGCAAACATTAATTGAGCATTTACGATGTGCTAGGCATGGTGAGGACACAAGTAAGAATTAGACTGGAAGAAATGCATACAACTAAGTATGGCATATGACATACACCACAGCAGATGCATACAAAAAGTGACAAAAGACGACATCATTTTAGCAATTATCATTTATTTAGTCATTTTCCTGCTGTTGAACATTTTAGCTATATACAGTTTTCACTCTTATAAGTAATCCTGTGATGAGCACCTTCATATAAAAATACTTGGGACATATTTTGTGGTGTTTACAATAGTTTCTCTAGGAAGATTACCAGAAGTGGACTTACTGTGGCTTGCGTTATAAATATCTTTAAACTTCTTGTTGCTTACTGCCAATATGCTAACAAAAATGTCTTACCAATTTTATTTTCATCAGCTGAGAAAATGTGCACTTAACTCACTAATTTCAAAAGAAAAATGCAGCATCCAAAAATGTGTTTGAAGTATTTTATTGCATGCTTATTTGTAGTAAACAGTTCTTAAGCAGAGACGTGGATCAGATATGTGTTTTTAATAGTGTTGAGGGTGACATAGCCCTGGGCCTGAGAGGGAAAAATCCCAGCTGGGAAGCTCTGGTAATAGTCCAGGAGAGAGAAAATATGGCCTGACCTAAAACATTTGTTTGTATACCGAACATAAAGGAAAACTGACACAATTTTTAAGTTTTACCATCACGTATTCTTCCTCAATTATATTTTTCAATGTTGCCACTTTTCAAACGATCAGCTCAGTTTCTGCTTCTTCATTAGGAGAATCTTTTCTGGTAAGGACTCTACTACTATATTGTCTCAGTTGGCTGCTCTGTATATTCACAGGAAGGTGAAAAACAATTTTAAAAATGATCAAAGCTGTTCATAAATTCTACATTAAACACATTTCATTCTGAAAATTTGTTTCCACCCACTTTTCTATCGCTGTATGCTTTTAAAGGAAGATCAAATACAAAATAAATAGGAGGGACTGTATTGAAAATATTGATTTTTTAAAGATAAGACCATAAGCTAGAGTTCTGGTCAAATTATACTGTCTTTACCCCATCTTCCTTTCAAATCCCAAATGTTCAAGGACCAAGTTCCTACTTGATTCATACTCTAACTTTTCTGAAGTCTCTAGACCTATATTGCCCAACATGGTAAGCATCAGCCACACATGGCTAAATTTAAATAAAATTAAAGTTAAAAACAGTTTCTCAGCCACATTAACCACATTTCAGGTGCTCAGTAGCCACATAGGGCCATGGGAACTCTACAGGACAGTGTAGACATTTCCATCTTCCACTGCAGAGTTCTACTGGACAGTGCTGCTCTGAACTCATTTGGTTTTGCTTTTTTAAAACTGCATTTTCAGACATTTTTATACCTTTTTGAAATGTTAAATGATAGCTCTGCAGAGTTACTGGTTTGATGGTCACACCTACTCAATCCCAGAACCAAGCATTTTAGTGTAATTGCAGAAATGCTCTCAACCAATCAACCTAATTTGCCCAAATAGGGGCAAATAAGGAAGAAAAAAATTATCAGCCAGTATCAAGGATCCTTGTCTCAGCTTCTGCTTACATTACAGTCTCCAGAAAGTATCAAGGGCACATTCACTTTCCTTCCTTTTTTCTCCCTTTGTGGTAATAAATTCCTACATATGTACCTACATACATACAAAACACCCAAAATTTACCCTGTTAAATTAAATGTACAATCCCAGTATTGTTAACTATATGCATGTTTTACAGAAGAGAGGTCTAGGACTTTTTCATCTTGCATAACTGAAATTTTATTGCCATTGAACAGCAACTCCCATTTCTCCATATCCCCAGTTCTAGGAACCACCATACTGTTTTTTGCTTTTTATGTAAACACGGTCTTCTGATCACAGCTGAGATTCTCCCTACGTAATCCCCAGCTTTCTTACCTCTTTGCACAAATCAGATCTACCTCCTTCTAAGCAATTCTCTCATTGCTGAGCTTCCATATCACTTTATCTCACAACCCACTAACTTCTTTGATCATTTACTTTTATATGTTTCCTAGATGTTCCTTGCATCTCCTTCCTTACAAATATTGATTCTCTCAAGTCAATGTTCTCTTCTATGGCTTCCATATTCTTTCCATAAAACAAAATTCTACTCATATTTATTACAGTCACTATATTGTAGGGAAGACAATGGAGCAGATGAAGAAAAAAATAAGGGCATATGATATGAAAATGAGCAACCCATCCAACTGTCTCCTGAATCTTTTATATCTAGAGAAGAACTAGCCAGCTCTTCTCTGCCCTCCAGTCTGGCTTTGGGTATTTTGTGACATCACCTGGATGCAACATTAACATCTTAAAATCAACATGGTTAAAACAAATCTTCTATCTCAAACCAGCTGTTCCTCCTTACTTTCCTCTGTAGATTATAAAATCACCACATATACCAGCACCCCTGGCTCAGATTCAGTTATCTTCGACTCTTTATCCTAGGGGCCTGCATTCAAACAGTTGCCAAATCCTCTGTCTTTTACCAACTAAATCTTTAAGTCATCCTTTCCACAGCCCCTTCTCAGTTTTAAGATTTCTCTCATGCCAAGAAATCTTTTCCCCTCACAACTGAGAATAATGTCAATTCTAGGCTGTAGCTTTTCCCCGTTGTTGGGAAGCTCTGAGAAGACACCACATAAAAATGTAAAACACACAAAGCATAATATATTTTTACTTTTCTTCTGCTTATTTTCCTCAATGTCAAAAATGATCCCAAAACTAAAACAGCTATAATATAATTTCTCAACAGATGCTATCTGATTAGAAAAATGCAAGGGTTGCTCTATGCTATGAATGAAAATAAGCAGTGGCTGCACTAATTTTGAGGAATAATATTGCCACATTTTTCTCTAAATATTTAAGCTAAAGCTACTATCTTATTTGGGGGAATAAACAAGTTTGATTATTTAGTCAAAGATGTAGTGAATCTTACACAATGGCTTTTAAATAATAAATCTTGTTCAGTTTCTGTGAAGACCCAAAGCAAGTGCTAGAGTTTCTTTCGCTGTCACTAGCCACATGTGCCTATTTAAATTTAAGCTGATTAACATTAAATAAAGTTAAGAATTTAGAGTTCAACTGCACTAGCCATATGTCAAGTGTTTAATAGCCACATGTGGCTACTGGGTAGTGTTCTGGACACTGCCAAAGATTCTGTGGTATAGTGTTGCTTCATAATATTGCTCAGCTGCTAGGATAATGCAAAGATATAAAATGGCTACGTAATCAGGAATAAACATAGCATAATAAACATGTACTGAAGTACTTTCATAGAAATAAAAAATTGATTTGGATGTTAAAACTGAAAAACCTAATAAAACCAACCAATTAACCTTAATAACAGAAAAGATGAGAGATACCATTCTTCAGTCTTAATTTGATGATAACTTTGAAATCACTAAAATGAAAAAAATTCTCTAAAATGTTGACTTGTGTTAAAAAATGTAAATTTAAGAAAATTTAAACAGTAATAACTTTAATCATGATTTTCAAAATTTACTATTTTTATAAAATCCGATAATTTTAATCAAGAAAAAACTAGTTATATAATAGAAACTCACACCTTCTATGTGTCACTTGTATGTGCTCTAAGAGATTATTTTACAAGGCTTATAATCTCAAGAATGCTAAGATTAGGAAAATTCATTTTTACGGATACCTCATTATAGCTGAAAAAAGTTATGTTTGAAATTCATCAGTTGAGATTATGCTTATTAATTATCTGCTGAAAAACAAAACACAGAAAGGATGAAGATGAATTATATTTAGAAAATTACTTATTTTGACACTTAACAAGCTAAGCAACTTATTAGATCTCTTTATATAAATTGATCCCAATAGATTTTTAAGATACTTGTATTTGGAAGTTAGAAACTCTTAAAATTTTAAGTCTTTAGGAGTAATCAGCATATTACTTGCCCCTAAAAGACTGACTTCCAAATACAATTAATTGCTGCACTTTAAGCTACTAAATGCTTTATAGTAAATTATTAAAATTAATATTCACTTATCTTTTTCAGTATATTTCATTAGAAATGGAAAAGCAAAAACATACTTTTCTATCCATTAAGATGTAAAGGTTGCTTGTAATTTATCTCTGTAGAGAAGAAAAATATTAAGAGCAAAAGGTGTAATTAATTTACACAGAAACACTTAAGAATCTTTTTTTAAAGAAAATCTGTTCAACATATAAAATATACCAGAAAAGTAAAATTTGACTCCATAGAGTATGCCACAATTTTTAAAGATATCCTTAGAAGATAATTTAATAGTGTCAACATTCTTTTTTAAATGTACTACAATAACAAAATACCTTAAATACAAAATACGTGCCCCAAACAAAATTTTTACGTGTGAATGTAAGAAAGACAATTGTAATGGTATATATAAGTAAATTTCAGTTTTTGACTCTTTTTGTTATTCCATTTTGGCAGAAACACTGTAACCAAAAAAAAGTAGGTATGGACAGGCAGCTTTATGCTATGAAATAATGCTGATGTAACCCCAAGTGAGAAAACAACAGGTTTCAAATGAATTATAGTGTATTGGTAATTTTATAGTAAACTTAACTTTAAAGACAGTCACTGACTGGAACATAAATTCTGTTCCCACTATTTCTAAAAGAAGAATCCAAAAGACAATTTAAAAAATTGTGACTTCTATTCAATATTAAAATATGTATTGATGTTTATGAGATTATAATAACTGAGATCCAAGGTCATTCCATAAGAAAAGATCTGAAAGTAGAAAATGGCAATGGCACTAAGGGTGAGAATCTTTTAAATTACATCAACATCTCTTCTTTTACTTGAAGCTAGAGTGGTTCAAGCAACCACTGAGTATCAGAAGCCCAGCAGATACTACAGGGGTGTCAGAAATTCACTGACGCTCCAAAGAGCACTCAAAATTCTCCTTCATAATGGGGAATCTCATCTCATCCTAGAGGCCTGAGACTTTAAGAGTGAACTCCTTTTAACTGAGCTATTAGAAACAAGGCTATCAAGTCCTTCCTGCAACAGTTTTACCTCTGGGTAGTCATTTGAGGAACATTGAAAAGATCTTATTATTAATAGCGTGAAATCTAGCCTTCTTCAACAATATATAAGAAATTCCGTTTTTAACTTGAACTCTCACAACACTTCCACTCAAAAGTACTGTAGGTCATCAACTGTATTATAGCAATTGCTTTAACTCCTCTGTCTCTGCTAAGTCATCAGTTCCTTGCAGGCTGGCTGTATAGTACATCCTGTATATGTTCATCTTTGACTACTTCAACCTTAGAATGGTGTACATGTGAGGCAAACTTCTGGTCTAGTTTTTACAGCTTTATGTAATAATGGTCATTTGCATAGCAGTATTTTTTTTTTTCTATTTCACTTTTCCAAAAGAATTACTTCTAAGAAATAATATATTATGATTAAGCAACTCTCATTAAAATAAAAAAATCTTGGTGTGCCATTTAGTAAGAACCATTACATAATTTTACTTGTTTTACTGTGAGCCCAAAGCTACACAATCTCACCTAGTGAGTACTCTGGAAATGGTAGCCATGAGTACTGCTATTATTAGTGGAAACTGGCAGTAGTACTTGTTGTAGTAGAAGCAGTTAAGTATTCAAAGATGAACGGATTCATCTGAGTACTAAAAGAATTAAAATGTGTAAAGAATTAAAAATGTGTATCCATAGAGCAAAGTGAAGCTAATGAGTTTAATTTGGATTGCAGTATAGCTGAGTTTCTAAACAAGCTTTTGCTTGGCTAGTAACAAAATCCCTTAAATTTTACTCATTAGAACACATAGTGAATTTGTTCAAAGTGCAAGCAAGTTTTTATATTTATACACTGACTCTGGAGTGGCAAGCTTCTAAAAACAAAAGGACCACTTCAAGGTAGCCCTGGAACCCTGTACGACCCCTGCATTGTACAAATCTACAAAAATGGAAATAATTAAGAACAAATGCTGTAAGACTGTCTTTACACCATTAGCATTATATTACTAGTTAGTCCTTTAAACTGGAAATAAATCTAAAATCACATTCATGTCCAGTGTCACTCAGGCAAGTGGCAAGGAACATACTTTTTCTATTTTCCCTGTAATGCCACAGAGTGACATAAATCAAAGCTAGAGTCACCTGTAAATTTAAAAGGTAATTGGTAGTTTTAAAATGACTTGTCTTTTCTGTGCTCTGTGGAATTTAGCTATATTTGAACCCGTGTATTCCTGAGGATCTGCCTTCCATTTTCATCTCTACTGAAATGCAATCTATACTTCCTTTAAGCCTTGTCTCAAATACCAACTCCTTTGGTCTTCCATCACTCCTGCCAATTCCCAAGCTTTTCTATGAATTTAAATTTATTTTTCTTAAGATTCAGTTATATTGTTTCTCTTATAGCTATTACTATGTATCATTATTTTATCACTCCTTTCAGACTATAAGCTCCTTAAAGAGTAGGATCAATTTCTAACACAGTATCTGTAGCAATATAGCTCAGCAAAGTGAAAATAATGCTTTCTCATATATTTTTTGAATGGAATTAAGGCGATAGGAGTCTGGCTACTGGCTCTTTCATTCATTTATCCTCCTTGAACAGAACAAGCACATCCTGTGGATTTAAGGAAATTAATGTTCTCTATACTCTTATTAGAAACACCAGTAAGTTAAACCAATATATAAGACACAGTCCTAAACATCAATCTACTTACTACCGTCCATGTACCCTCTGCCTATTTATTTTCTTAGTTATTAAAACAAATAGTATCTGTAATTTCTCTTAATTTGTACCTCTTTCTTAGAAATCAGTAATACTGCGCACTGTGACACTAATCTTGGGACAACAAAGCCTCATATATAAGCTTTTCAGTGTTGAACACTTTCTAAAGAGCTAAGAGCTAAAAAAATATAGTTGTTGAATATGCTAGTAAAATTTTTAGCTAAAGCCCAAGAAAATGAGGAGGTAACTATAAATCTTTGTAGCTGAGATAATGCATGTCCATCGTAAGCACCTAATTCAATTTCCTTATTAACATAAAGATGATATACTTTTCTACCACTAATTGTAAGATCTGGTCCCAAAAAAGTATTAAGAAGGGCTTTACTTCTATATGAACAATTTTTAAAAGTTTCTGTATTGTGTAATAATAAAACTTCACCTTGAATTTTAGAAAGCTTTACCTATTAAAATAATGTCTCAATTAGATTAAAAGAAATTAAAACTGGAGGTTTTAGAAAGTAAAATTCCCATTAGAGACAATTATAGTTATATAACATTCTAATATTACTCAGTAGATGGCTGATAGTTACTAGTACCTTGGAGAAACAAAAATATGCTCTGAATGTAGTTACCTGGTGTATGAGGGAAAGGGGGTTTTAAATCAAGCTTCCATATTCAGCATCTACCAGCTTGACCATATGATTATAAAATCAAAGGGCTTTAAGTTATTCCAATGGAACACCGAATGAAAGGATGGCTTTCAGATTTTTCAAAACACAATGATAAACAAAATATAAGTCACTTGCTCAGCTTAGAGGAATCAGGGAAAATGCATTAAATGCACTTGATTTCTATAGATTTACAAAACAAACAAACATTTAGCCATATGAAAACCAATACTTCTTTACACACTGAGTCATAAATAACAAGAACTCATGTTCTCATTTAAATTGAGAAAGTAGCTTTCACACAGCCTCCCAGGATAACAACTGTGTAAATTCAAGTATTTTTTATTTTACTTTGAATTATATTAAACTTCAGCTTTAATGAAACTTAAAAGAACAGACGTCTTTATACCTAGTTTTAAAAGAAGCAGTCATGTTTTCATTTTTGCCTGGAATAGAATGAACGATCTGATCTGTACAGTAAATGCACAAAACTTCATTTCTGCTCTATTTTGTCAATCTCCAAGTCTATAAGCAAAAAACTACATGATTGTGTTTTCATGTGCACAGGTAAACTTAAAACCTACTGTAATCAGAATTAAAACCATTCTTATGCTCACTTAAGTAAACAGTTCACAAACTTCTTAATATCAGGACCTTTATATACTCTTAAAAATTATTGAACCCTCTGCTTCTGGGCAAGGAGTGGTTAGCTGGTGTGGACATCTATGTCCATGTGAAGGGTGGTGGTCATGTGGCTCAGATTTGTGTTATCCAGCAGTATGTCTCCAAATCTCTGGTGGCCTATTACCAGAAATATGTGAATGAGGCTTCCAAGAAGCAGATCAAAGACATTCTTATCCAGCATTGCTGGATCCTGCTGGCAGCTGACCCTGCTGCGGCAAATTCAAAAAGTTAGGAGGTATTGCAGTTATATGTGTCCTTATATTATAAAAATACATACTAAATTATACAGTGGGTAGAAGAAAATGAGTTTTGAGATTTAATTATTTCAGGAGCAATAATAGCAACACAGGACTGATGAAGTTAAGAGTGACAAAATCTTTCCAAGATTAAATTTGGTCATGGGTTTACGAAGCTTCATTACACGATTTTTTCTGCTTTTGTGTCGCTTGAAATTTTCATGGCAATTTTTTTAAGTGACTAGCAAGGTACTTGAGATAAATAGGCATTTAAATGAATAATAATTATTAAAATACAGTTTTATAATTTATAATACAAGTTAATGAAAAATGAATATTATTAATAAATCTTACACTGAAATTAAACACTGTAACTTCTATAATAAAGAATTATTCATTTGATTTTTTAAAAGCTTCTGTTATAAACAGAATGTTTGTGTTCCCCTCCCTCAAAATTCATATGTTGAAATCCTAACCCCCAATGTAATGGAATTAAGAGGTGGCTTTGGAAGGTAATTAGGTCGTAAGACTAGAGTCTTCATGAATGGGATAAGCGCCCTTAAAAAAAAAGACCGCAAGAGCTCCCTGGCACTCTTGTGCCCTGTTGAAGATACAGTACAAAGATAGCTGTCTATGAACTAGGAAGTAGACACTCATTAGACACAATTTGCTGGCTACCTGATTTAGGACTTCTCAGCTTGAGAACTGTGAGAAATAAATGTTCATTTTTTCTGCCACCCAATCTTCAGTTTTTGTTATAGCAGCCTTCATGGACAAAAACAAGCTCATTTCCTGGAAGACCTTGAACTAAGTACTTGAAAATACAAAGATAAATCAAGCATAAGTGCTGGCCTCAAGGTAAATGCCAGGTAAATAAGTATGGATGCACAATTACAATATATGTTAGGAGCTATAATGAGAGTAACCAAAATAGGAATGCCTCACTCTGCCTGCAAGAGTATGGACTAAAACAGCCTTCCAGAAGAGATAAATCTTGGGAAGGAGTAGAAATTTGTTCAGGATACCTAGAAAAGGATAGTTAGGTCTATGAGGATACACCACCACCAAATACATATATATATAAATACAAAGACATGATACATTGAGGGAACTATGTTGTTCTACATGATTCCTGAAATTTTCTCAGCGAATAAGACTAGAGACATTAGCAGGAGTCATATCATGAATGTCATACTAAAGAGCTTTGATGTTATATAAACAATGGACAATAGTAAAATAACTGTATTTGTCTTTTAATAAAATATTTCTGACATCCAGTGGAATGGGGAAGGGGAGGCTGGAGGAAATATGAGCTATTAGTAGGCTACTATATTATCTAGGCAAGAGAAGATTTGGGTTAATTAAGCAGTATGGATTAAAGAAAAATAATTATATTGACAGCTACTTACAACACTAAATAGAATTGAGTGACTGATGGGATATCAGGGTAAAACAGTGAGAGAAGTCTAGGATGTCTCACAGAATTCTGAATTAGATGACTGGATGAATGAATAATGGTGACACCAACTGATATAAAAGAAATCAACACAATAAGGCAGCTTAGATTTAGTTTGATTATCACAATCCAGGGATACATGTTTATAAGACAGCCATGTGGAAGGATATGGGTTTCAGGGAGATTAAAGTGTCAAGAATCAAGTGTTTCATTATTTTTGCATTTAAAGACCCAAACTTTTATTATGCATTACACTCTAATATTTAATAACAACTTTATACTAGGTTATCTTACCACCTGTTCACAAACTTTTTCTCAGTGACTCTAATTTGCTTTCTATTTCTAACACTACTACCGCAGGTTAGACTATTATTTTATCCTTAGTTATTGAGGGGGTGGAGTGGGGAGAAGGACAGTAGAGGCAGAAAGGCAAATCTCCAACATTCTGACTCTTAATCTAACTTTTCAACTTTTGTATTCTCCAAACATTCTTTTACTTATTATTCCTACACCTTACTTAGTTCCTTTGTTCTTGAGCCTCTATGTAGAATGCCGCAACTCTTCTTCATAATTTACTGCGTTTCTAAGTCATCACCATAAGCCCCAACACAGTTCCTAAATTCTGTATATTGACTCATTCAAACCCACAGTGAGTTTTCTCATCTTCTGAATTTTCATTTATATGACACCTGGTATCATTTTGTGAAAGAGAAGATAAACCTCTTTTATACACCTTTTATATAAAGGTGTTTATCTTCTCTTTCACTAATTTGATTATAAAAGAAGTGTTCATCTTAGTGACTAATTCAAATCAGGTGCTCAATAAATGTTGATTGCTAACATACCATTTCTATATATTCCTCAGTCTATTACACATTTAATAATATTAGAAACTATTTTGAACAATAACCACCTTAAAATGTTTTTTGGCATCCTGGATTTATGCTAGTCCTAAAATACACACACACACACACACACACACACACACAATTTAACAGAATTACTTCACAACATCCTATCCTGTTTTGGCAAGAAAATTCTCAGAGTGCAGTTTTTGATAGAAAAAAAAAAGCTATAATTATGCTATAATTAAGATCTGTGAAAGTAATTATCTTCTAATAATCACAAAGACTTCCTTTAATTTGTCATTCTCCTAATATCTCCTCCCATTTTTTGCATACTTTGCATACAGATGCTATTCAGGTCCGTTTGTTTTCTTTATCATTCTTTTTTAGTAACTTAACTAAGGATAACAGGATTTGTTATCCTTTGCCTATACTTAAGATTTCAATGTTAGTGTACTAAATCAACAGTTTTTCAGTTAGCTCAAAATAAACAATCACTCATATGACCTAAACATTACTACTTTTTAAGCATGTCCTTTCGGACATCAGTGAAGACCAGAAAACTGCACTAAGCATTCTAAGTTTAAAACACTTTCAAATCAAAGAAATCAACCAACCAATCAGTACATATGAACTAAATTTTTTGTTACATAGCTCATGTAATAGCTCTTTTAAGAACAGAAAGTGTAAAAACTGCCTAAAGGGGTTTACAAACTAGCTGGTAAAATTAGAGGCAGACACGCAAAGAGCAATAAACAAAATAATATATAACTGAATGCTAGCGGTAAGGTGATATAATGAAAAGGGTACTAAAACCTGAGTTATTTTCCCTTCTTAGCACAGAAAGGATCAGTGCTTTGATCATTTTATAAGGAATCAATTTTCACATCTGAAAAATGAGAGAGAGAGAGAGAGAGAGAGAGAGACATTCCATGAGGCCTTTTGGCATTAACATTCCATGATTATACAGAATGCTGTGAGAGATTCTAAATGCCAGTAGAAAGTTTTCAGAAAGAAAATAAGCTAAATGCTTTAAAATTACTTTCCCATTATTTTGCTAGTTTAAAAAATGTTTTCTTATTTTTAAAATAATTTTACTTAACCTATTAAAATTATTAAACCTATAAAACTATCACCTCTTTAATAAACTGATAGGTTCTGGATTTTTGGTAAAATGTTATAAAATCAAGATTAGAAAAAAGCTCTATTGTAGATATATATCACATACTTTACATAATTTCATAGCAGAAGAATTGTAATTTTAAATATATCTAAAATTCTCTTCAATGTTGTACACTCTATATTCTTGCTCCACCCCCCCACCACCTTTTTTTTTTTTTTTTTTTTTTTGTAGAGACAGGGTTTTACCATGTTATCCAGGCTGGTCTCGAACTCGAGAGTTCAAGCGATCTGCCTGCCTTGGGTGCTGGGACTAATGGCGTGATCCACCATGCCCAGCCACTTTATGTTCTTTATAAATGATCCAGTTAAGAAAGCATACCATACTCTTAAAAAAAATAAATAATAATAATAATCTATTTATTATCAGGATTTATGGTATTCAGTGATTTTCTTCTTTCCCTAGCTTTTTATAAATCAAGGGATTACGCTATAGTATTTTATGTAAATGATGAGAGTAGTCTTATAACCTTTATAATCTAGTAGTATATAAATGACTTTTCAAAGTCCTTACATGTATTTATTTTAAAAGTGTATTAAACAATTTTAGCTTCAGCATGAAGTATTACTGGGCCTGTGTATATTAGTAAGTTTTAACTTTACGTAACTGTTTTGTGGAGAATTCATATAATCATAACAGGACTTCAAATACAGCTGTTCCTTTCCAAGAACATAATCGCCAAAAAATACATTTTTAAGAAGAGCTACATGATCATCAGTGTGCCAAATGTGTTCATAAGTATCAGAGCACATGGGTTGGCTGGTAGGTAGTAATGCCTCACTTAAATGGCTGACCATTGGTGCTGGTGTTGGCTAGAGTTCTTTGCTTTTCCTTCAAGTGAGCTGCTTTTGTCACCTCCAAATATGGTAGCTTGGGTCCAAAAGGAAACATCCAAATGGGCAAAGAGTAAAGCTGCATATGCACCCCATGAGTTTTGATTGTTAGGTTTTCAAAAGCTACTTTTACTTTCAAAAGCAAAGTAGTTTAGTTTGCCTGGTTGTAACCCAATCATTTCTTCATATTACAGCAGGAACAACTCTTGTATTTTTTCAGTAGTTACATGAGTGGTAAGAAGACCTAAGAATTAAGGTCCACATGACAAAGAACATTTCCAAATTAGTAAAACTAGTCCGATGATCGTTTTTAGAGGATTTTAAAAATAATTAAATGGTGATTTTACTTTATGGTCAAGAGTAAAGTAAAATTATCAAGGCAAAGTTAGGTCACTCTTACCCATAATGTGAATAAAAATATTTTTAATACGATTGGATAGCTATACATAACTGTTTAACCTGCAGAATTTAGTTGGCAAATGTTTTTAAATAGTTTTAACAGACCAACAGACGTGCATTTCAGATAACTCATATAAATACAAAATTCTTTTTGTTACTGCTATTTCATTTCTTAAATAAAAACATGAAAGTACCAAATAAGAAGGCTATATGAAACACAGGCACCAGCTTAATTTCATTAATAGGTACTGAAATAACATTTAGTCTTCTGTGCCATAACATGAAATATAGATTCATAAGTCTTGAGAGAGAATATTCTTTAAGATTATAAGGCAACTGGGTCCTTTTCCATAAAAGTTGACAACTTTTTTCCCCCAGAAAATGTATGCCTTTTCTAACATAGAGAAAAAGATGATAGTATTTTTCGTATTACAAATTAAAAAATGAAAATGTTCAAAAAATACACATTTTCCAAAGAAAATAAAAAGTAATATGCTGTAATAATAACAGTGCAGTATCTAACCAGCAGGTAAATATTTAATCTTTCAAACTTTAATTTACTCTGTCATAAAGTGAGGATGGGATCTCAACTTCATAAGATTGTTGAGGATTAAATGAGATAATATACGAAGGAAAAAAACCTATTATATCAAGAACACAGTGAACATGAAATGAAAAATAGTCCTATATTCAAAGTTTCACTAGAACCATTTCTGGCAAGATTTACTAATTTACCCTATTCTAGATTATGCTTTCCCAAGAGCTTCATTAAGAAATAAATTATTAGTAGTACTGCACCCTCTCCAATACCCATTTGTGGGCACTTTCCTTCTGCTTCTATAGGTTTTTCCTTTTTCTGGTTATAAAAGTAATATTTCCTCAAGGTGGAAAATAAAGTAAAAACAAGCAAACAAAAATTCATTATAATCTCACCATACAAAAATAACCATTATTAACATGGTGGCTTCTATCTTTCTGAAATATTTTTCTAAGCATATATACATATATGCATAAATTTAAAATTATTAAATATGGCCAGGCACAGTAATTTTAAAATTACTAAAATTTAGTAATTTTAAATTTATGCATAAAATTTTATGCATAATTTTTAGTTTTATGCATAATTTTTATTTATGCATATACATTTAAAATTACTAATTAATTTTACTAAAATTACTAAATTACTAATTTACTAAAATTACTAAATGACTAATTTTAAATGTATATGCATAAATAAAAATTATGCATAAAGTTTTATGCATAAATTTAAAATTACTACATATGGCCAGGCCATGCTAAATATGGCCAGGCACAGTGGCTCATGCCTGTAATCCCAGCACTTTGGGATGCCAAGGTGGAAGGATCACTTGAGGTTGGGAGTTCAAGACCGGCCTGGTTAACATGGTGAAACCCCATCTCTACTAAAAATAATGAAAAAAAATTGTGGGCTATAGTGGCGAGCACCTGTAATCCCAGCTGCTCAGAAGGCTGAAGCAGGAGAATTATTTGAACCTAGGAGGCAGCGGTGGCAGTGAACTGTGATTCTGCCACTTCAGTCCGGGCAAGAGAGCGAGACTCCATTTCAAAAACGAAATGAGTGGAAATAAAAAATATAAAATTACTAAATAGAAATGGGAATTTTATACTATTTTATAATTTTCTTTTTCTCCATAATTTCCTCCAAATCCTAAATTTTAAGAACTTCACAATAATTAATAGTACTTTTAATTATGAATTTAGGTGACAAGTTCATGACAGCTCTCTATAGTGCCCTCACAGATGGCATACTTCAAAGACATTTATGACCTATAATTATCTAAATATATTTTTAAAACGAAATAAAACCACTGAATTTCTATACCAAATTTATCACATCTATAATTAGCACACTTACTAAATTAATCATACTATTACAATTAACTACATAGAATAATAAAAAAATAGAAATTGTCCTAATTTTCAATTACAGTAATTCAATTATAATATAACATATGTGCCCCTACTATGCAAAAATCATACAATAAAAACCACAGCAATTATGGGTAAAAATGAGGTTAAGGGCAAAACACTAAACAAACCTGCATAAGTTATACATAAAAAAAAAAAGAAATCTAATAAAATATGGTACCACAGTTTTACACAGGTTAAATGGTTAAGAAATATACAAATAGTACAATAATATATGGCGCCCTACCTTAAAAAAGAAAATTGCTTATGGAGGTGGTTACCGCAAGGCCTATAATCCTGTAAGTTATGAATGAGCAGAAGAAGGATGATCTGAAATAAGATGGAACAATGTAACACCAGATATGAATGGACGGAGCTTGTAACACACTGATGAACTAAGATAGAGGGTAGATGTTTGAAGTAGGTATCCCAATACATAAAATTCACTGTTAATGCTCAAATTATTCCCTAATACATCGATTGAAACAAATCTGCATAAGTGTTATAGCAGAACTGTGAGCATTTTGTATTCTACCACTACATTACTTAAGCATAGCTCCTATTAAAACAAAAAGGAAGACTAAAGAAACTTATTATCCCATATACTAGATTCAAGACTCTTTAATAAACAGAGGTTAAATTGTTTGTATTTTTAAAAAGTTAATTTGACAAAGTTCACAGGCAAGATAAAGGGAATGAGAGAAACCCAAACTTGGTAAATCTGCTTTTAATTAGGACACAAGAGTTCATTATAAATAATACTCTATAAATATTCTTCTTCATATCAAAGATTTGGCCACACTAAAGGGAAAAAACAAAAGCAGCTAGTTTACATTTGCATTATGTGAAATGCATTATACTTGCATTTTATGAAAACAAATTCAGAGAAAGATAGCCAGTTTTATCAAGAGAAATGAAAAGATGCTCTGACACAATTATAGTGGTTACTGTAAGACCTACAGAAGAGAATAATAAATATCTATTTATTATATATTAGCTATTCCTAAATAGAAAAATAGTAATAAATATCTCAGATAATCATTAATTACTTCCTAGCATATAGAAAAATATGTGTGAAAACAATAATGACAAACCAAGTTTGGAAACTCTAAAGTTGTAATCAAGTAAACCAGCAAAATTTCTATTGACCAAAAGGTTTTTATACATTTTTAAGAAACACAGATAATTAAAATTATTCACAGAAAACCTGGTCTTTAGAAATGATGATCAGTAGACCATTCCTTCCAAACAGTAGTAAAATCCAAATTATCTTAGTATTCATTCTGCTTTTAAAGGTTCTTAAAGAGGAAACCAAATCCCTTACCTCTCTCTATAAAGACTATGTCTATCTGCTCTCAATCACAAAATGCAAATTTACCTATTCAGAGTTTGTAGACTAATAAATGAAAATATGAAAAAATGCTCATCATCACTGGTCATTAGAGAAATGCAAATCAAAACTACATTGAGATACCATCTCACGCCAGTTAGAATATCGATCATTAAAAAATTTGAAGACGACAGATGCTGGAGAGGATGTGGAGAAATAGGAACACTTTTACACTGTTGGTGGGAGTGTAAATTAGTTCAACCATTGTGGAAGACAGTGTCGCGATTCCTCAAGGACCTAGAAATAGAAATTCCATTTGACCCAGCAATCCCATTACTGGGTATATATCCAAAGGATTATAAATCGTTCTACTATAAGGACACATGCACATGAAAGTTCATTGCAGCACTGTTCACAATAGC